GGCTCCTCAATGGGTGCTCTTGACGCTGCAGGCTAGATCTGTGGCCCTCGGTCACACACAAGAAGGCTCCGAGGGGTGAAGAGACTCTGCTGCAGGCAGAGCTGAGGCTGCAACCTGGCTCCAGATGGGGCCCGGGACCTGGGAATCCGGCGTGGCGACGGTGGCCCTGTCCTCACCAACCAAGCCTGGTGCTGAGGTTCCTCGCCAGGAGGGGATGTCCCAAAGTTCTGCTGTCCCCACGTCTCCAGGCATCTCCTCCCATAAAGGGATGTCCCAGGTAACTGTCCACACGTAGCTGCTGAGGCTGCCCCCGTTGCTCCCTGTCTTGGAAGAGAGTTGGGGTCTCCCTGGCCAAGCTCAGAGCATCCTGGAGAGCAGAGGGACCACCTGGGTGAGGGGATGCTAGAAATCCTGGTGCAGTCTGTCCCCACACCCCCAGGAGCACAGTGCCCAACTCCACCCTGGCTTAAAAAAAAAAAAAAAGCAAGTGTGGAAACAGCGTTAGTGTTTTATAGCAACAGCATGCTCTTCTGCTTTTATGTCCAAAGTACAGATAGGCAGCAAAGGAGAGAGCAAGGTACGCAGGGTCGGCCAGTTCCCCGGGCTGTCTCAGCCGCAGTGGCCCCCAAACTGTACATATCGCGCCCATGAACTCAACCAACTAAGGGTTGAAAATATTTGGAAACAAATGTGCTGTCTGTACTGAACATGCACAGACTTTCCCTTCCGATCGCTATCAACTAAACAATAGAGGCTAACAACTGTTACGTGGCCTTGGCGATGTCCGAGGTATTATGAAGAATCTAGAGGTGATTTAGAGTATACAGGAGGACGGGCCTAAGTTGAAAAAATACGATGCCACTCTTTATAAGGGACTTGAGCATCTGTGGATTTGGGTATCTGCAGAGGGTCCTGGAACCTGTCCCCCTCAGATACCCAGGGGCAACAGCATCACATTGTGGGCCGGTGACAGATTCTCCCCTTTAATGCAACACGGGCACCTGCCACATTCACATGTCTCCATCATGATTGTCCATGTCTCCATCACATTCTGATGGAGACCTCCCAAACTAGCGAGCATTTGGATCAGTCCCAGGATTCTGTGGCCAGACCTCTCTCTCTACCTCCTGAGACAGCATTTCACGGTGTGGAAGGGGACGGGCATTCTTAAAGCTACATCCATCCCCTGGAAGCTTTACAGCTAAACCTCTACTTGAAACTCCCAGAGAACCGTTTCTTCTCACTGGGATCAACATCAGGCGTGGGAAGTCATTTTTTAACCTTTGGTGGCTGGATAGGTGAAAAAGACACCTTGTTTCCGTGTGAACGTCTTTGGCTACTACTTCAACTTTCTTCATTCATTTATTCAACATAAATGCAGTGGGTGCTATCCTAGGCCAGGTATCTCCTATTGCAGAGGGCGGGGGGTGCACGTTGTAAGCAGGACATCCCATAGTCAATCTCTCTGTCATAGTTGCCATCAGTATTCAGAGGACTGGCGGCCTGGGGAGAGGAGCTGGGGGACTTTGGTTGCTATCATCTCCATCCAATTCGTGTTTCCTTGGTGTGGACGATCCACCTTCTCAATCTGACACAAAGCCCCCTGTGTTAGTCAGCTTTCCATCCCTACAACAAAACACATTGAGACGATCAACTTAAAAAGAGGAGAGGGTTGTTTCGGCTCCCAGGTTTGGGGTTTCCGTCTGTGGCCGGTTGGCCCTGTTGTTTTTGAACCTGTGATGAGGCAGCACGTTATGGCAGGAGCACATGACACAGGAAGTCTAGTCACCTCGTGGCTAGGAACAAAAAAAGGAGAAAGAAGAAACCAGGGGCCCACGGTGCCCTTCAAGGACACATCCCGGGTGACATAAAAACCTCCCACTAGGCACCACCCCTTAAAGTCTTACTACCTCCCAACAGTGCCTCGTTGGGGACTGAACTATCCAAACCACAGCATGCCCCCTAAGAGCAGCCCTGAGCCTTCCAGCCAGATGTCCTCACGCCCTTCCCACAAAGACAGGGGGACAGGATCATTCTCTGCGTCCCAGGAGCGGCAGCCTAGGGTGTGGCACACTCAGGTACACAGTGTTCTTACCTGTCTGTTGTTCTAACATCTTTTAACATTGGGGGATCCTCTCATAGCCACGGAGGATCTCGGACCCTCCCCTGATGCTTGGTTGAATCCATGGACAGGGCTCTGTGGCTCAGAGAGGGTTGGGGGCTTGTCCAAGGCCCCATAAGCAGGAGGGAGGCTGGATGTGATCCCAACCCTCTGGGTCCCCAAGGCTCCTGCATCACGGTCAAGGTCAAACTCTAGGCTTCTTTTCTTTTCTGGACCAACACCCCTGGCAGTGCTGGGTGCTTCCGGGTTCTTCTAAGAAAGGGGTCTTGCCAGGGTTTGGTGACCCCCAATTGTGAACTGAATCAGAAGCCCCAAAGTCACAGTCTGTCCAGATAGGCGTGTGGGTAGTGCCCGCAGACGGCTCCCGCTGGGACAGGCGATGGGCTAGGCAAGCCTTCCTGATGACTGATGTCATGAGCTCATTAGAGCAGTGGGGTTCAGAGCCCAAGGCAACAGTCCAAACAATAAATTAGGCTGCACAATTTAGCACTTAATTATCCTCCCGCTCGTCCACTTCACTCTCGTTCCCGGGTGTCTGTCTGGCCCTCCAACTAGATGGCAAGACCTTTCCTCCGCTCACACCCCACAGTCAAGCCGTCACTGGGACCATCTCGGGAACATCCCTCAAATACTTTCCCTTCTCCATGTCCTCATGGCCCTGACCTCACCGGGTCCTCACCCTCTCCCTCCTGGATTGGATTCCTGCTACCCTGCTCTCAGTCTCCAGTGACCCTCTCTGCTCTGTCCAACTGACCTGCGCGTGACTTGCTTCGGTCTAAAATCCAGACCCCAAGCCTCCGGGCATTCACAGAGCCCCCCTCTGTGATCAGGGAGTCTTGCCTCCTTCCCTCCTCTTCCCACCCCCCCGTCGGGCGCCCTCCCATCTGAAGAGCTTGCAGATCTTCCCCTGGAGGAGCAAAGCCAAATCCAGGCCACCGCGATGCCCAGAGCTCTGCCCCTGGTGTCCCCTCCTCCGGGGATGTTCTTGCCCACGCCACAGCCCTGCTGCTTCGCTTGCAAACTTGACCCTCATCCTGGTGGCTCCGGAATCTTCTCCTTCTGGAAGCCGGAAGGTGTTTCCCAGGCAAAGCCCTGCAGTTGAGATCCTGCATTTTCGGTCCCCTCTAAGCCGTCTCGTAGGCCGCACCTCCATATGGCCACCAGGGAAGATAATACCAGGGGCAAGGCTGTTCATCCGTGGAGGGTCCTGATGTGACAAAGGCCCATCGCATCCCACACGAAGGAGCCTCATAGCGAGAGCCTCACAATGGAGCCCCAAGGAGGCATTCCCAGGTTCTTTTATAGACAAGGAAACTGAGGTGTGGACTCCAGACCCAGGTCCCCCTGCTCCACCCCGCCCAAGTCTAGCACGGCAGGAACAATTACTGGGGGTTGAGGAGGACATGGGAGAGGACCCCATGGGGCACTAAGATGGGTGGGGATGCTTGGAAAGAGCACTGGGGGACAGAGCAGGGACAGTGTGGATGAGGCAGGGCTGCTTTTGGCCCAAAGAGGCGGGACTGGGCACCCTCACCAGGTACCTTCTGCTCTCCCACTTTGCAGCTGGGTCAATGAAATTTCGGGGAGAGGGAAGAACAAGATCACCAAGGATCCCGAGTCCCAGTCCAGCTGACGCAGTGGGCTGCAGGTGCAGGGAGACCACGCTGTCCCCTCCCTCTCCCCTGCTTCCTTCACCTGTTGGTCCCCAGACACTCCCTGCAGGTAAGCTAGACGCCCAAGCTCAGGCTGCTGGGCAGAGAGGCAGAGAGCTCACCACTGGGCCCGGCTCGCGGTGGGTACTCAGGGAACGTTGCTTGAGGCACTAAATTGGAGAATAAGCAAGTAAGCGCCAGTTTGTAACCCGCCCAGACTGCCACACTGTGAGCTCTGGGGTGGTGACATTTCCGGAAGGACCTAAAGGAGCAGATAAATGTTTGCCTAAGCCTTTCATGGACAGGCCACCTCCATCCTGAGCATCGTCAGACCCACTTTCCAGATGACACCACCGAGGCTCACGGTGAGGATGAGATTTGCCCTGGTCTCTGTTGGAACGCAGTCCTCAGCATCCTGGGGCATAAAGCCCGACAGATGCAGGGTGTGTGTGTGTGTGTGGGGGGCATCTTTAGGAAGAGGTGCTTTTCTTCTGGTGTCTAAGCAGGAGGAGGCTGCCTGAGGAGGTCCCTGTAAATATCATCACTTCTCCGCAGGGACCTGTCATCTTAGGTCACTTTGTCCATGTTCTACAATGTGCGGATCCGAGAACGTGACCTCGAGGGAGGCAGGGAAGGAGGGACATGCTTGGAGGGACCCGGAGCACCTTCCATGCATGAAGCATGGGGCACAGGGCTGGCAGGAACGGGGAGCCGGTTCCAGGTGCTGGGCTGGGCGGGACTAGGTGGGGCCTTCCTTCGCAGCATCTCTGGCCTGGGCGGAGCAGCAGGTCCCCAGTCACGATGGAGCTGCGAGGAATGTCCCTCATTTCCATAAGGGGGAGCCTGTGCGCAGGAGATGCCATCCCAGCTCCAGCAGCCTCAGCATCCAGGGACCGGCTCCGTCAGGAGGGGCCATTTGGGTGGCACCTACAGGGGCCTGACCTGAGCTGCTGCCTCCTGTCCTGGGCAGAAGCCACAGGTCCCAGGTAGACCGTTCTCTTCCTCCATTGTTGACGTGGGGAACCCAGGAAAATGGGGGCTGGGTGGCAGTGGCCTGACGTCTCCGAGGGGAAAGCGCATAGCTTTGGAGGCGGACAGAAGGGGGACTCCCCCCAGTTCCATTAGGGACTCGCTGCCGTGGCCTTGGACTGGGTCCCTCCCACAGACCTCAGGGACCATACCACCTAGGACAGTTCCAGAGCAGCTCCAACAGGTGCACAGCGAACATGTCGCATCGAGAGGACTCCTGTCGTGACAGCTGTTATCTGGGTCAGGTGTGCACATCTGCACTGTCACCCCAAAGCACACATGCACTTCAATCTCCAGCGGAGTGTTGGGGTGATTTGTTCAGGGGTGATGGCCTCTCCGGTCAAAGAGAGCAACGGAGCAGAGGTGGCTACAGAAGAAGAACTTGTGCCTACAGATCTCAGCGCAGGTGCTTCTCAGCTGAGAGTGAAAACCCTGAGGAATAGACTGGAGCCAGGGGGACGGGAGCCAGGGGGACGGGAGCTGGGGGATGGTCCAGCGCTCAGTGCGGCACCCAGCTCTCTGGGACCCCCAAGTGCACGTGCTTTGGTGCGGCTGTAATAGACCAGGTGCGGTTTCATTCTCGACTTGCAGTGGCCTTTGGTCTCAATCTCTCCACCTCCTGGTTCAGTTCTTGCCAGAAAGCAAAGCCCACATCTCTCCCGGGGCCTATCTCCCACATTCACGGAGCTGGCTGCCTTGGGGAAGGGAAATCAGCATCACGACAGGATGCGCTGCCCTTTTACTCTTATTTTTTTCGGAAAGAGAATGGTCATTTCTCCCTCATCTTCAAAATGGTCTACATGCATCATAAAAATGTGAGCATTCTTGAGAAGTTCAAAAGTCACCTGGAATCACGTCTGCTGACTCCCAGTGTGGCCTCCCAGGCCTCCACCTGCCAGTGCACACGCACACCTCGCTGCAACTCGGGACCTCACGCCACGCGCTGCCGTGTACTCTGACCTTGTTTGTCTACCTGTGTGATTTTCCTGAGTATTCTAAATGACCCCACATCACTTTATTGCATGGGTATAGTGCAGTCCACTTAACCAATCCCCTATTTTTGGACACTTAGGTTATCTCTGTCTCCTTTTCTTGTTAAAAAATGTTTAGTTTAGAAATGATTCTAGATTCACAGGAAATTGGAAAGACAGTGTGGACAGTTTCTGCACGCCTTCATCTATTTGTCCGTAGTAGTTACATCTTACAAAGCTGTAGTGCAACATCAAAATCAGGATATTGACAGTGATTGCTACAGTCTGTGTATAGAGCTCTGTTATTTTATCCCGTGTGTGGATCTGTATAGCCACCACCACAATCAAGACGCAGAACTATTTCATCACCACAAAGATTTCCCTCCCATTACCGCTTCATATTCACTCTGCCCTCCCCCATCCCCTTTTCCGAACCCTGGACTTCACTAACCTCCTCCATCTCTATATTTTTGTCACTTTAAGAATGTTAGGCAAACAATGTTCCTTTTTAAAAATTTTTTAAAAGTTGTAAATGGACACAATACCTTTAATTTCTTTCTTTCTTTATTTTTATGTGGTACTGAGGATCGAACCGAGTGCCTTGCACATGCTAGAAAATACTCTACCATTGAGCTACATCCCCAGTCCCACAACATTTTTTTATTACCTCTATTATACAGTGTTGCCACCACAATGTGGTAATGTAACATATTACACATCACATTCATTCAGCACAAAGACCTAAGGTCCATCCATCTTGTTGAATATATCAACTTCTTCTTCATTTTCATTGTTGAATAGTATTCCCTGGTATGGGTATACCACTCCTATTAGCTCTTCCTCTATTTCAAATGTTGTTTAAAAATAATATTTTCGTTGTTTCTAGCTTTTTTTTTTAACCATCACAAATAAAACTGCTATGAACAATCTTGCAGAAGAGTTTCTGTGTAGACTTGTGTTGTTCTCTCTCTGAGATAAGCACACCCAGAGTCTAACTGCCAGATTCTTTGGTGTCTATTTCATTTAAGAGACTCAGAAACTAATTTCTAGACCAGTTGTATCATTTTATATTCCCACCAGCAAAGTCTGCGAGCTCCAGCTTCTCTCCAAACTCAGCAGCATTTGCTTCTTAACTACGGTTTGCACGAGGGTCCCCCAAAGGCCAATGTCCCCAGGCTATGGTGGGGTTGGGAAGTGACAGAATCTTCAGGAGGTGAGCTAGTGGGAGGAAGTGAGGTCTTGTGGGCGTGTCCCTAAAGGGGATGTGGGGACCCATGTCCCTTCTTTCTCTGCTTCCTGGCTGCCATGAGGCAGCAGCCTCCTCCTGCATGCCCTCTGTGCCATGATGTCCTCTGCCACCCCTGGCCCAAGACAAGACCATGGACGGACACCTCAAGCCAAGGTAGACCTGTCCCCCTTTGGATTATCTCAGGTATTCCGTCCCAATAACAGAAAGCTGACCAACTCCACATGCTCACGGTTTTTCATTTTACCGTCCTATCAGGTGTGTGGTGATGTACCAGAGTCCTAATTGTCATTTCCTGATGGCTAATGACAGAACAGATTTTTGTATGCTTATTGGTTGAAATGTCTCTTCGTATATTTTTCGTATAGGATCGATGATGATGTTACTGCTGAACAATACACACCCACCCACACACACACACACACACACACAGGAATCCTTTGTCAGATCTGTGGTTTGCCAAGGTTTGTCTGTCCCTTGTCTTTTCATTCTTTCAACACAGTCTTTACCAAGCGAAGCTCTTCAGTTTTACTGAAGCCAAATCAATTGATTTTATGAATCGTACCTTTGTCCTCATGGGCCAGGAATTCTTCATCAAGCCGGGTCCCAGGGATTATTGGTCTCTTTTTCTTTTAGCCGGGTGTGGGGCAGAATAATGGCCTTTAAAGATGTCCACACCCTAATCTTGGAGTCTGTGTTACTTTCCGTGGCAAAGAGGGCTTTGCAGGTTGGTCACAGACCCAGAGACGGGGGATCATCCTGGGTTTTCCAGGTGGGTCCAGTGGAAACACAATTCCTTATTAGGGGAAGGAGGGCAGGAGCGTCAGAGAAGGAGACGGACAGACAGAAGTAGAGGTCCGTGTGATGACACTGCTGGTCGGAAGGGGACCGTGAGGCACATGATGCAAGCAGGTGTCTCCAGGAGCTGGACGAGGCGAGGCTACGGATGCTCCCTGAGGGTCTCCAGAGGCCGCACAGCTGCCAGCCTCTTGACGTAACCCAGCGAGACACATTTTAACCTTCTGACCTCCAGCCTTCAAGATCATAAGTTTGTGTGGCTTTAAGCCCTAGGTCGGTGCTCATATGTTACAGCAGCAACAGGAAGCCAATGCTAAGCCTTGGAAGGGGATCTGTGCATGCAAATCTCACTTCCCTAGCTACTGCCTTAGGATCAAATCTTGGAATTTAAATTGGGAGTCCAAGGGTCTGTGCCCACATCGGTGACGACTGGCATTCCCTCATCACTGCCTTGCTCCACTCTGTGCCCTGTAATGGAAAGCCATCGATGGGGTGACAATAGGAAGCTAGGAGGCTCCTGGTTCTGGATACCAGGGAGACCAAGATGGAGGGCAGCGTCTGGTGAGTACCTTCTTGCGGGTCACCCCCTGGTGGAAAGGTAGAGGACAAGGGCGAGCAGGCCGCGAGATCCCTCCTCAAGCCCTTTTACAATCTGCACTGTTCATTCCAGAGCCCTCAGGGACCCTGGCTGCCCAAGCTCCCACCTCTGAACACCAAGCATTGGGAATTAAGTTTCCAATACAAGGTTTTGGGAGACACATTCAACAATAGCCATTAGAGATTCTTGTTTCCTTGTGTTAGTAAGCACTGGTTCCTAAGAATGGCAAACACAGTTTTGAAGTGTGTGTGTGTGTGGGGGGGTCAGCCTGTGGTCATGTGCATAGCAGGTAAGGAGAGAAGAATGAGAATCACCTTTCTCTGAATCACCCAAACTTGCCTGGTCCAATATGGTACCACTGGCCATGGGGGGCTCTTTAGCACCACAAATGCAGACATTCTAAACTGCAGTGTGCCCTCGATATAATAAGACACACCCTGGACTCAAAATCCTCAGTAAAATAAATTAAAAAGGAAGACATAAACTTCAACCTTGTGATGTTTTGTGTTAATTATATGCTGAACTTCCATTTGGATATGTATTTGGGTAAGCAAAATATATTAATAAAGTTAACTTTACCTATTTTTCTTTACTCTTTTCATGTGGCTACTAGAAAATTAAAAATTCCCTGTGTGGCTGGCTTTTGTGGCTCCTCCCGAGTTCCACTTGGGCAGCGTGGCCCACACTCTCACCCATGGCCCTTGATGCCCACAGTGGGCAGAGACCGCGGAGCGGGTGGGCTCAGCCCAGAGCCACATTAAAGGCTCCTGGTGGCTGTGGCTCTGGGCCCCACCACAGGGCCTGACCACAGAGCCACCGTGAGTGGGAAAGAACTTGAGGGCAGAGAGAGCTTGGTGTGAAGCCCAGCCCCTGCACAGCATTCCTGCACTTGAACCTTCCGTGACTGTGAGAGTGACCCCTGGCACCTGTGGCAGGTTCCTTATTCACTATCATCAAACCCTCCATGCTCTGGCACTAGGCAGCCCACCACCGGAGGGAGCCCCTCCCCGGGCTCCTGCTCCTCCTCTCCCCTGTTCTGTCTGTCGCTGAGGAGAGCATCTGGGGACAGTGGCCCCACTCAGCACCTTTCACCAGCCCACGGTGCTGAGCTGGAATTCTAGGCAGGTGTTGCTTTAGGACGTCAGCGAAGTCACCCCTCCCTTGTTCTTCAGTCTCCCGTGTGTGCCATGGGGACAGTGCCCTTTCCATCTCTGGGGATGCTGGGAGGGCTGAGCTGCCTTGCGTGGACACGATCTCTGGGTCCTCGGAGCAGTGTCTTCCTGTGGTGCCTGTCACTGGGTTGCTCTAGAATCCCAGCGGTGCCAGGGTCCCAGGACAGAAGGCCCAGGAGACCAGAGAAGACTTTAAGTCTGCAAGTGACAGAAGCCTTGAGCCTTGAGGAGCGGAGGAAACATTCTTATCCAGGGGACACACGTGTCCTGGACACCCCGGGCTCCCAGCTGTGCTGCAGAGAAACCTCTTTGCCGCCAAAGGTGAGCACCGCAGGAGGCCACCCCAGGCCCCGCCCCCTGTTTCAGATGTAGCCACGTCCCCCCCTGCCCCGCTCCCGCCCCGCCCTTCGCCCTGGTCCCCCCACCCGCAGCACCTGCCACTCTCCACCAGGTTC